CCAAGTACTGTCTTCTATTGAGTGTGTTGCCTTTTCATTTTGTTGATGGTTCCTTTTGCTGTGCAGAAGCTTTTTAGTATGATATAGTCCTACTTATTTATTTTTACTTTTATTGCTTTTACTTTTGGTGTACATTAAAAGAAATAAATGCCAAGACCTCTGTCAAGGAGCTTACAGCCTGAATTTTCTTCTGGGAGTTTTAAGGTTCCAGATCTTACACTCAAATCTTTGAGCTATTTGAGTTAACTGAAGCTTAATTGACTTCAGCTTAATTGAGTTTAAAATCTTTCTAATATTATCAGTTGACTAGTTAGGTTGAAATCTATCAATCATTTGGAAATCTATCAGTCATTTAAATTTATTACTAAGCTGGAAATTATAAATGATATGGTGGGTTTACTTAAAAGAAACACTTGTCAATAACAGAAACCATACAATTCACTGCTAGTTTTTATATATAAATAAGAAGCAAAAGAATGGTAATAATCCTAAAGATTTGACTCAGAGCAATTACCCTGATGAATAACTTGTACTCACGTCACCAAAATTATTATTTCTTTATCATAATGTCTTTAGTACTCTAAAAATTATGGTAAAAAAGATAGTATATAATGTGATTAGATCAAATTTGGATCTTCATTATGGGGACTGAAAGACTTTCTACACAAAGAGTTATCTACCAGGCTAGGCTTACAAACCTGTACTCATATAATTGCTTAAAAGGAAATATAAAAAAACTATAAAAGTAAACCAACTGAATATTTTTTGTGTGTGTTTAAAAGTAAAATTTCAAAGATCAGGTTATAAAAATAATTTGCCCCGTCTGTTTGTGATGGCATAATACCACTTTTCATCCTAATTTATATGTAATTTTGTCCAACATGAAAGTAGATAATTTTAAAGATGATTTATGATTCATTCTGTGTCTTACATAACTATTTTAAAATTAAAGATTATGAATTCCATTTGTAGATGAGAAAAGTCAAAATTGGTCTTTTTACTTTGGTATATGTTAAGATAGTATTATGAAGTTCACTTTGATGCAATATTTTATAATAGTAATATTTTAATGAATTCCCTTTTTAAACTTAAACTCATTGCATATTATTTCTACATTATATTCTGGACAAAACAATAAAATTGCTGTAGAATGATACAAGATTTTTGTAACTGGGAAGTGCTGCTTCAGAGTGATAGAGTGGGTTATTTTCTGGAATATTCCACTCCTCTGAAAATGGTATTAAGTATTTTTTGAAAAATGAAATGTCAGATTCATGGTTCCATCTTCTCCACAAGTAGACATTGTTGATTTTTAAGAAGATTTGCTTTTGAGCTAGCAAAATGGGTCTTTTTATTAATTAACCATTTTAGAGTAGATGAAAATGTCAATAGGTATGGAAGTTTTATAGTAAATAATAAAGAACTGATGATAGTATGTTTAAATCAATGTTCTAATACTATTATGCACTTGTATCTTTTTGTGTGTTAATCATTCAGTTGTGTCTGACTTTTTTGTGACCCCATGGCCTATCAACCTGCCAGGCTCCTCTGTCCATGGGATTATCCAGGCAGGAATACTGGAGTGGGTAGCTTTCCCTTCTCTTTCCTGACTCAGGCTGAACCCACGTCTCCTGCATTGCAATTGCATTCTTTACTATCTGAGCCGCTGGGAAAGTCTGTGTCTTTTTGTCTTTTGTACTTTGTATTAGAATTTTCAGCAGTTGTGTCATTATTTCTCTGTTTTCATATTTAGAATCTTAGGGTAAAAAGAGGTCACACATAATACATGTGACCTCAATATGTTTTGAACTCTTATTTTCTAGTTTTCTTTTTAATTTTGGTGATGATTGCTTTGGAGGACTGAATTTTTATTTAATTATTCTTATTTTCCTCTTTGCCAGGTAATAAAACATGTCCCATAAGATAAAATGACTCCCTGATTTGCATTGTTTTATATTTCAACTTTTGTGCAGGTTTGGCATATTAGTGATTTCTTTAAGAACTGTAAGAAAAGGGAATATAGGAAATTTTCCTAGTATAAATTTTTGTAATTTAAGAAGCTGCAATGAATGGTTTGAGAGAAAATAACCTAGCGTGGGAATCCAAATTTGTTTTACCACATTGACTTGGAAATGTGTTAGTTTTTTTTTTTTTTTAATATATAGATTATTTACTTTCTAATCTGTTTCTGTAATTTACTAATGTCCAGAAATCTTTCTCTAAACAGTTTCCTTTAAAATTAGGGTTAGGGTTAGAATTAGCATTCTAATTTCACTTCAGACCTAAAGCCTCACTTCACCATGCTCAGCTCTGAAAAATGCAGTATCATATTTTTGCTTGTGTATTTGAAATTATGTTTGTGAGATCACATTCCTCTGTGATGGTTGCTGTCGCTCAGAGTTCAGTTTGCTGTCTGTCAAAAGGTGATTTGTCCTCTTGGAAGCAGTTGTCTGTATAGTTCACATGTTGCATTCTGGCAAGTGGTGTCATTCCCAAAGGCAGCTGAAAACACCAGCAGCTGTGTGCTGGGAGGGAGGCGTCCCCTTCCTCCGTAGGATGCCCCTCCTGACTCCCGTGAAAAGATGCTTCTTAGACACAACCATTTTCATACAGCAAGATTCTTTCCTAGTGCTGCAGACTTGCCCTAAAATGTTTCCCTCATTCTTTTTGAAACATATATTATGCAATAAAATAGAAACACTTATGGCTGTTTTGCCAGCCTCCTCTGCACTTTCTCCTCACTCTCACCATCTCAATAAAAAGATTATTGCAGCGGAAATGAAGATGTTTCACCACGGTAGATAGTTGTCTAAATTGTTAATTTGAAGTGATGGTGGTTTTGAGTCAGATCACCTGACTTTAAACTGTTGTTTTTTTTTCCTTGACTTTGTTTAGCTTTGAGATGCCTTTGCTGTTGATGCAATTTGGTATAGCTGCATAGCAGATGGATTGTTTTCACTTTGAACAGCCATCAATGAATTTTATAAGAATATGGATTCTATAAACATATTTGTAGTGGTGGAGAAAATTTGTTTTATGCAAATTTCCATAATTACATGTTCCTTTGTTTATATTTGTTTTGCATAAATAAAAATATCATAATAGCAGTAATCTTAGCCAACTACTTAAAAAATTATATTTAGTAAGAGATAGTATATTCTCAAATGTATTTTACATCATGAAAGAAAGTGAATCTGTACTAATAATATTTAAATTGATTTTTAGGAAAAACAAGAAATATTCAGAACTTATAAATTTGCAGAAAATAACTGTGAATTTTCCCTTTGGCTTTTGTTGTTGTTAATTGCTAAGTCGTGTCCTACTCTTTGCCACACCATGGACTGTAGCCTGCTAGGCTCCTCTTTCCATGGGATTTCCCAGACAGGAATATTGGAGTGGGTTGCTATTTCCTTCTCCAGGGAATCTTCCTGACCCATGGGTCAAACCCGCATCTCCTACATCAGCAGGGTATGCTTTACCACTCAGCCACCAAGGAAGTCCTTCCCTTTGCCTTATTAAACTTGAAATCTGTTGCTAATGAACTTTGAGGTATTCAGGAACTGCAAAGGATCTTAATGTATTTAGGTGTATATAGTGAGATTAACCAGAGTGGATAGAAGATGACAACTGCTGGGCAAGATAGGTTATTTATTAGAGAAAATGGCCCAAATTAAATGTATAGGATGACAACTCATTAGAATTGTGACCTCTTAGAGCTTAAAGAGACATCACAGATAATTTAATGCAGCTGCCTCCTTTGGCACATGGATAAGCCTGGAGTGAATTCCTTTAAGTTATCTTCTACAAGTCAGTGAATTTGTGGCAGAGCTAGGACAGAAACCTGGAATAATTGGCTCCTGGCTTAGTATCCTTCTAGTTATCATGTAATAATGTTTAACCTAGGAAAGGGACTTGAAATCATTTGGGGTATTCTGGTAAAGCTTTTGGCCCTTTGTGCTACCATGACCAAAGAGAAGACAGTTAGATTTAGTTAGAGTATTTTCAGTAAAGGTTTTAGAAACAAACTGGAAAAGTTTAATCTACTTCGTTTTATAAAAACATGCAAAACTCTCTGGAATATTATAGAAGTAACCTATGGCTGACTCATGTTGAGGTTTGACAGAAAGCAACACAATTCTGTAAAGCAATTATCCTTCAATAAAAAATAAATTTAAAAACAAAAAAACCCCCACCTTATTTACTTTGTAGAAGCATCTTCTTCATCCATATATTCCCAGCTCTAGAACTTCTAATAAATATACTTCTAATAAATAAATGCAGTGTCCACTATGGAGAAGGAAATGGCAACCCACTCCAGTATTCTTGCCTAGAAAAGCCCATGGACGGAGGAGCCTGGCAGGCTACAGTCCATGGGGTCGCAGAGTCAAACACAAAACAGTGAATATTGAACAAATGAATAACATATCATTAAAATGTTAAGTTATAAGGGATATATGATAGCAATTTGTCAGGAGATATGTTTTCACTGTTTGAATATTGTGCCAAATAAGGGAAGATTGAGGGCAGGAGGAGAAGGGGCGACAGAGGGTGTAGGATGAGATGGTTGGATGGCATCACCGACTCAGCGGACATGAGTTTGAGCAAACTCTGGGAGATAGTGAAGGACAGGGAAGCCTGGTGTGATGCAGTTCATGGAGTCACAAAGAGTCGGACACAACTTGGTGACTGAACAACAACTAAAGGGATTGATTTTTATACTGAGAAATTACTCATATTGATAAGATTTTTGAAAATATTTAATCTGAGCTGCTAGTCTCTTTTTTTAAAATGAGATTTTAGAAATGGATTATGGTAGCTCCTTTCTTAACAGGTATTGACAGTTTATTTAATTGCTTTTAAATGCTGTTGTATTACTAAATATTTATACAATATTTAATCATGTTGGAAACAATATTGGATATTACCTCCTCATCACTTTTCTTGACGTTAATAGTGGCTCATTAAGTGGTTTTTTCTTTTGTTTTTTTTTACCTTTATAGGTTATTTTAGTATCTGCCAATAAATTGACTCGTTATATAGAACCATGCCAGTTAACGGAAGATTTTGGTGGGAGTCTCACCTATGATCACATGGATTGGTTAAATAAGAGGCTGGTTGGTATATTACAATGAGATAACATGTTATTACATATAAATAAGACATATTTTGATAGCTATTTCATTTTAATCCACTAAAATGTAGATTGTTTTCCATTGTACAAAACCAAAGAAATATAACATGTACCACGTGATAGCGTAATGCTTGAAAGCAGGTACTCTGGAGACAGACTTATAAGTGTTAACTATTACTGTTGTCATTAGTAGCAGTATTAAAGTTGTAAATCTTTTGAGTTGAATCATAGTAGCATAATTTCCTGAGAGATAATCTAGTTGATACACCATTTTCAGAGAAATATTTAGACATCAATTTGAGTTGAAAAGCAAGGTTAAGATATTTATTTCTTGGAAAAAAAAGAAAAAGATTTATTTCTGAAAATGTATCTTCTTTCTCAGGACAGACTTTGGAAATCTGCTATTCTGTACACAAATACATTATTGTTTAATTGAACAGCTGGGGACTAAAGGAACAAATTTAAATTAACTCAGTTTAGATTATATGCTGATGTTTTGGAGAACAATGAGTTAATGGATATATCAGAATGGATAACCAGTTCTTTTTTCACCGTATTTTGAATAATGATATTAGACAAATAAGTGTCTATTTTGTTATACACAGACTTGCCCAAATCCCTTTTTAGAAATATTTTAAGAAATCATGTTAGGATTATAACTATTTTATTCTGCTATATGCTTGTATATAAAACATTTAAACTATTACATACAATCAGAATGATTAATAGAATAACATAAAGAAATATTCTTTTAACTGGAATTAGAGGCTTAGAACTGGTCTAAATAATGTTCATATAGTGAAAATGATTGTTGGTGCAGATGTTTCTTAAGGAAACAGGAATAAATATAAACTGATCTGATTGAGGAATAAAATAATTTCTTAGTGTATTTAAATTATAAAAATCCCTTATCCATTAAGACTACTCACTGTTTTAGGAAGCAGTTTTGTCTTCTTAGTTGCAAGAAACAGGTGGTTTTTGTCTTTTATACTGCTGGGCTCTGGTGATTGACTTGTGGACTCAAATATCCAAAGCTGGAACCAGAATCCCACCTGGCTAATTATGTTGCTCTTTGTTGGAAATCCTTCTGTTCATATCAACTTTTAAGGTCATTCTTAATATGTTAATAAAATCTCATACTGTAGGTTTTTGAGAAGTTTACAAAGGAATCTACATCATTATTAGATGAACTTGCATTGATTAACAATGGAAGTGATAAAGGAAATCAGCAAGAGAAAGAAAGGTAAGTGGCTTGTTGTTCAGTCACTAAGCTTTTGTTTTGTTTGTTTGTTTTTTAGTCACTGAGTCTTGTCTGACTCTTTGTGACCCCATGAACTGCAGCGCGCCAGGCTTTCTGTCCTTCAGGATCTCCCGGGGTTTGCTCAAATTCATGTCCATTGAGTCAGTGATGCCACCCAACCATCTCATCCTCTGTCGTCCCCTTCTCCTCCTGCCCTCAGTCTTTCCCAGCATCAGGGTCTTTTCCAGTGCCCTTTGCATCAGGAGGCCAAAGTATTGGAGCTTCAGCTTCAGTCCTTCCAATGAATATCCAAGGTTGATTTCCTTTAGGATTGACAGGGTTGATCTCTTTGCTGTCCAAGGGACTCTCAAGAGTCTTCTTCAGCACCACTATTCGAAAGCATCAATTCTTCAGCACTCAGCCTTCATTGTCGTCCAACTCTTACATCTGTACGTGGCTACTGGAAAAAGCATGGCTCTGACTATACGGGCCTTTGTCGGCAAAGTGATGTCTCAGCTGTTTAATACCCTGTCAAGATTTATCATAGCTTCTCTTCCAAGGAGCTAACATCTTTTAATTTCATGGCTGCAGTCACCATCTGCAGTGATTTTGGAACCCAAGAATATAAAATCCGTCACTTGTTCCCACTTTTCACTCATCTATTTGCCATGAAGTGATGGAACTGGATGCCATGAACTTAACTTTTTTGAATGTTGGGTTTTACACGAGCTTTTTCACGTTGTTCTTTCACCCTCATCAAGAGGCTCTTTAATTCCTCTTCACTTTGTGCCATTAGAGTGTATCATCTGTATATCTGAGGTTATTGATATTTCTCCTGCAAGTCTTAATTCCAGCTTGTGCTTCATCCAGTCTGCATTTCATTTGGTGTACTCTGCATATAAGTTAAATAAGCAGGGTGACAGTATAGAGCCTTGATATATTCTTTTCTCAGCTTTGAACCAGTCCATTGTTCCATGTCCAGTTGTAACTGTTGCTTCTTGTCCTGCATACAGGTTTCTCAGGAGATAGGTAAGGTGGTCTGGCATTCCCATCTCTTTGAGAATTTTCCACAGTTTGTTGTGATCCACATAGTCAAAGCTTTGCCATAGTCAAGGAAGCAAAAGTAAGTGTTTTTCTGGAATTGCTTGGCTTTTTCTGTTATTCAGTAGATGTTGGCAATTTGATCTCTTGATTCCTCTGCCTTTTCTAAATCCAGCTTGTACATCTGGAAGCTCTTGGTTCACATATTGTTGAAGCTTAGCTTGAAGGATTTTGAACATTACCTTGCTAGCATGGGAAATGAGCTCGATTATACGGTAGTTTGAACATTCTTTGACATGGCCTTTCTTTGGGATTGAAATGAAAACTGACCTTTTCTAGTCCTGTAGCCACTGCTGATTTTTACAAATTTTTTGACATATTGAGTGCAGCACTATACCTGTATACTCTTTTGGGATTTGAAATAGCTCAGTTAGAATTCCATCACCTCCACTAGCTTTGTTTGTAGTAATGCCTCCTAAGGCCCACTTGACTTCACACTCCAGGATGTCTGGCTTGAGATGAATGACCAGAATATTATGGCTACCTGGGTCATTTAGACTTTTTAGTATAGTTCTCTGTATTCTTGCCACTGTTCTTAATCTCTTTTGCTTCTGTTAGGTACATACCATTTCTGTCCTTTATTGTGCCCATTTTTGCATGAAATGTTCCCTTGATATTTTCAGTTTTTTTAAAGAGAACTCTAGTCTTTCTCATTCTACTGTTTTCTTCTGTTTCTTTGCACTGTTCACTAAGAAGGATTTCTTACCTCCTCTTGCTATTCTCCGGTATTCTGCATTCAGTTTGGTATATCTTTCCCTTTCTCCTTTGCCTTTCATGTCTCTTCTTTTCTCAGATATTTGTAAGATCTCTGCAGACAACCACTTTGCCTTCTTGTATTTCTTTTTTGGGGGTAAGGTTTTGGTCACCACCTTCTGTATAGTGTTACAAACCTCCATGCATAGTTCTTCAGTCACTCTGTCAGATCAAATCCCTTGAATCTATTTATGCAATTACTTCACTTTCGCAAAGCTATAAGTTATCTGTTAAAAGATAACCTCTGTTAATGCAAGCCAAGAGAACTAAGGTAAGCACATTTCCATCGATCAAACTTAGCATACAAAAGTTATATTAAATTTATTTTTTAATTCTTGAGAATTTGATTCCATGTAAAGTTTATTGATTTGAATCCAGGTTTCTTTACAAGAGTTTTTTGTGAATAGAAATATATTTACTTTTTTCTGACCCTGTGTAAAATATTTTGCAAGAAATATTTTCAAGCTGAAAGACTTATCTTCCTTTTTAGAGTTTTACTTTGCTTGTAAAGAGTACAGAAAAGCTTGCAGCTTGAAATAAAATCATTATAACCTTATTTAAATACATTAGCACTTAAATGCCTATCTTGTAGAACTCCTGTGTCCTCGTAAAATATGTGATATTTCATGAGTTCAGCTTGGGGAATTTATAGTGTTTTATGACACTGGATGAAGTAATTGTTCATTTGTATTATCTAAATGTAACTACCTAGATGTATCATTTTAAGAGATTTCCATTGAACTTTTCAGCCTTAACAATTTGTAGATCAGTTTCCTTTCCCCAGGTGAAAAGCACTGTAGGAAGCAAATTAATCCTCAGTAATAAAGTAGCACTAAGCAGTAATTTTTCATTCGGAAATTTGAAAGGATCAACAACTTACCTTGTCTGTCTCTCTTGAATCTGACCTTAAAAACACAATGAAACTTTGACAAAATGCGCTGTTACTCTGTTAATCCAGAATAGTCACAGACCAGTTCAGTGAGGTAAGGTAGGACAGCTATTAGAAGGTCATAGTTTAATGCCAAATCTTGATTTAAAACAAGTGGTTTGAATATAAGTCTAAAGTTAGAACTCATGTTTAGTAACATTCCTATCTTAGAGACCATATAAAAATGTAAATGTAAAAATTTTACATATATGTAAACATGTGAGTATGTTTATAGATGTCACACACACACACACACACACACACATGCTATGTAATTAAAAATATCATGCAAGTTACTTGACAAAAATTTGCCAAACCTCTTTATTTCTGAATAGTCTAACAAGTCTGGTGTTTCTCGGAAACATGTTCTTTAGGTAAGACATCCTAAGAGGGTGCTGATAGAAAAAGATTTCATAGTCATGGAGTTTAATGCTGTCTTCTCTTTCCCTCTTTGAGAATCACTGTGAATTTTCACAGAATACAGGCTTCCCAGGTAGCACTAGTGGTGAAGAACCAGTAAAGGAGATGTGAGAGGCATGGTTTCGATCCCTGGGTTGGAAAGATCCCCTGGAGAAGGGAACAGCAACCTACTCCAGTACTCTTGCCTGAAAAATTCCATGGATGGAGGAGCCTGGCAGGCTATAGTCCATGGAGTCAAAAGAGTAGGACACAGCTGAGGCAACTTAGCACACACGCATGGGTCCTGAGAAAGTGTTGCAGTAAACAAACGTGTTTAATTGCTTTCTTAAAATTTCCTGTTCTTACATGCCACTGGAACCCTGTTTTTTCCTACCTAACAGTAATCTCATTCAGTGTTTTGGGAAACACTAGGAAGCCATGGCTTGTGACTGCAGGAAGTGTCAGGTGAAATCTTGTATTTGCCAGTCTCTTCCCAAGGAACTCAAGTATTATTACATTGTCTCTTTTAAACTCCATACAACAAAACCCCTCTTGGAAATTTTCATCACTTATTAATGTCGGTTCTTAGGAAGCACCTGGGCTTTACAAGAGGGGAAGTCCTATATCAGCTGGCCAAAGTGAAAGGTATAGACCTAGACCTGTTACGGTAGCTAGGCCCCAGGCTTTGATTTGTCACATACCTTTCCTTTATCGTCTCCACTTACCATATATGTTTAAGAAAATGAAGGCTGTAGTTCAGCTGCAAGTGAAATGTGACTAATACAGGGAAGAGAGCACATTTGCTCGGGGACACACGTCCAGTAGTCAGAGACTGTTTGCAGCTCTCAGGGATTGCTGTAGCTCAGAAACTTTTGATTGGAGGATGGCTGCATGCATGTTTTTAATGTTAACGTTCTTGGGTTACTGTATAGTGACAGATTTCAGTTTAAAGCACGTATCCAGTGGAAAATAACAAAATGGATTCTTCTGATATACTTGAAATAATACTGTAACTAATAGCAATAAATTGTAGTTTCCAAGTATTGTATTTTATGATTTATCATATAGATGTTTCTTTGGCTGCTAGTGTTTAATTATCTCTAATGGGCTTCCTGATGGTTAAGAGAAATTAGCCTGGTAGGCCAATATACTTCAGATTTTCATACTTACATGTCCCTGTTTTGGTAAGTATATATAAAGGATTTCCTTAAGTTATATATTAATAAATAGAAATGCATGTAGTTTTAAAAAATTACTATTTTGGTGCTTGCCAGGTCTGTGGATTTAAACTTTCTTCCATCAGTTGATCCTGAAACTGTTCTTCAGACAGGTAAGATGACTACAGACAACGTAGTCATTACTGATAATCATAATCCATTAAACCAGCCATATATTAATAAGATAAACATGAATTGAGTACATGTTATGTTGTAGAAATTCAAATTTTTCAAACTACTTTTTGGTTTAACCTAACAGTATATTAATATACTCTATATAATATTAAAAAATTATTAACTGATCAATTATCTTGAAATACTTGAATTCCTTTATCTGTGACTTGAAGATAAAAACTTCTGTTTCATTGGGTTGCTATGAGGATTACTGAATATGGATTATGTCACTAATATTGTATTTTCATACATTTTCATATTTCATTCCCATAACAACTCCTAGAAAAACTGTCGTTTTCTCTATTTGTATTTGAGGAAGCCAGGGCTTACAGATATTAAAAAACTTCCTCAAGATGAAATGATTATTAAGTTCCATCACCGTAACACTAAAAACAAGGCATGAATCCAAAGCCACTTGTGCTATACACTCATCTCTGTGAAAACATGTAGCACCTTGCACGTAGTGTGTGTGCACTTGCCCATAGCTGTGTGATTTGTATATTCCAGTCCAAATAGTAGTTTCACAAATTCTGGAACACGTTGGAATTTTTTCAAATGAAAATTCCTTAATTTTATTTATAATGTATTTTTCTAGTAATAGGGCATAATTTTAGTCCACCTGCATAGCAGGTAATGTTTTAAGCACTTTAAGCGCACTAACTCATTTATCCTTCCCCACAGCCCAGTGAAGTAGGTACTCTTGTCATCCTAGTGTTAAGATGGGGAAACTGAGGCAATAGGATCAGTAACTTATGCAGATTACACAACTGATAATGCTAAATTTGGTGCTCGAACCAAGGCAGTTTGGTTTTTAACCATGGTCTTTGAAATCGTTATATAGTGCTGCTTCTGTAGTGGAAACGATATCCACAGGGAAAACATTAAAGGTAGCAGTCATCAAAATAGGAAAAATAATATGTATTCTGAACTTAATGACTTTTATGGGTATATATATATAAAGAATCTGTGTGTGTATATATATATATATAGAAAGACTTTGTGTAAGTCTTTAAAACAAGTGTTTTTTCAATTAAAAAGTGTGATAAAGAGTAAAGAAATAAATTCTGAATATCGTTATTGTATACATTCAGTTTTCCTGAGTTTTTTTAGTATGATTCGGGTCTTACTTCCTGAAAGAACAAAGAAATAATTGTAATCTGAGTAACTGCATATTTAGATGGTAAAATAGACTGTCAGTAAAAATATTACTTTAGATTAAAAATACCTAATATGATGTTTATATTTAACATTTTAAAGGTTGCTTAAGCCATTGAATTAAGAAACTTGTTACATTTGTATTTTAGAATTATCTTTATATGTCACTGAATCCTTTTTGTTTGTTATTGGCTCGTAAAGCAAAGATAGAAAATATAAAAGGGAGACTTTAAAACAATCTTGGATATTTTTCAGAAGTTGGAAATACCTCTAAATCATAAGAAAAAATGTTTATATTATTTAGATTTAGGACACTTTAAGACACTAAAGAATTTAAGTTTCTGTATTTTGGGCTCCTTAGTAATAATTATATTTGTATTATCCTAGAAAAACAATTTACAATTTATTCACTTTTAAAATTGTTAATATTATACATATAGCTTTAGTTGTTGCATATTCTATAATTTTAATTTGTTTTGCGTGAGTTATTTTTCTCCATGAGGTTGCTGTAATCAAAGAACATTGAATGCAATTTTTACATTAGTATAGCCCCTCATGATTCACAGTTAATATGTAGAGATTTATATAGAGATTATTTGAATATTATTTTGTACCAGTAATGAAGACTTCATCCCTTTAATCATTCGTTACACACCAACATTTCTCTAAGGTGCTATGATTAAGGGTATGAATTAATACTGAAATCCTACAGCATATTGCTTAGTACTGTTTAGTACCATCAGACAAACATGCTAATTGATACCATCAATCTGGAAGTCCCAGATTGTAATTGTGCTCTGAAGGGAAAGAGTGTTGGATGGCACACTATCCTGAGCAGTGAATCCAATAACAACAAGAATGTGATAGAAAGATAGTTAGATCTAGAAAATATATATGCCGCATGTATACTATATACTTACTATGTAGTATGATGTATATGTATGTATATATTTATGACACTGGTCTTCCCTGAATTACAACGTGGTTGCATCCTGATAAACCCATCATAAGTTGAAATACGTCAAAATGCATTTAATACACCTAAAGTACCAAGTGTCATAGCTTAGTCTAGCCTACCTTAAACATGTTCAGAACACTTAATTACCCTACAGTTGGGTGGAATCATCTAAAGCAAAGCCTGTTTTATAAATACAGTGTTTAATATCTCATGTAATTTATTGAATAATGTACTGAAAGTGAGAGACAGAATAGTTATGCAATTATAGAATGGTTGTCAGTATACCAGTTGTTTACCCTCATGATTGTGTAGCTCACTGCAAGCTGTGGCTCACTGCTGTTGCCCAGCATCACGGAAGTATTATACTGCATGTTGCTAGCCCAGAAAAAGAAAAATTCAAAATTTGAAATATGGATTCAACTGAATGCAACATTGTAAAGTCAGAAAATTGTAAGTCAAACCATCACTAAATCAAGGACTGTCTGTATATGATACAGTTATGATATAGAACATAGTGTATAGATAAACTAAATAGTGTATATCCATATGTGCATGTATACTTGAAGTTTTCCTATTTATTTCTAAATAAATTGAAAAATTGCATTTTAGTACTTACAGACCTGTTAGGTAAACATAGGCAGGTATGTTCTAAAAATAAGGGACTAAAATTGAGAAGACTGAGAAATAAGATTTGTATTTCTTTATGGGTATTAATTGTAAGTATCTTTCATTTGTAAAGGGCATGAATTGTTATCCGAATTACAGCAGCGTCGATTTAATGGCTCAGATGGAGGGGTCTCATGGTCTCCTATGGATGATGAATTGCTTGCACAGCCACAGGTTATGAAATTATTAGATTCACTGCGAGAGCAATATACCCGCTACCAGGAAGTTTGTAGGCAACGAAGTAAGCGTACACAGTTAGAAGAGATTCAGCAGAAGGTGATGCAGGTAGGTGTCTGTTTGAATATCTTAAATTCTTTTTAAAATATAATTTTTTTTTTGTAATTCCTTCTTCTTACCTGATTTTACACTAAGCCAGATTTACACTGTATAGAGAACTTTAGATACGTCAAACCAGACATTCAACTATTTTTACAATTAGTTCAGTTTAATTCAGTTCAATCACTCAGTCATGTCTGACTCTTTGCAACCCTATGGACTGTAGCACTCCAGGCCTCCCTGTCCATCGCCGCTCCCGGAATTTATTGAAACTCATGTCCAACCAGCCATCTCATCCTCTGTCATCGTCTTCTCCTCCTGCCTTCAGTCTTTCTCATCATCAGGGTCTTTTCCAATGAGTCAGTTCTTCACATCAGGTGGCCAAAGTATTAGAGTTTCAGCTTCAGCATCAGTCCTTCCAATGAATATTCAGGACTCATTTTCTTTAGGATGGACTGGTCGGATCTCATTGCAATCCAAGGGACTCTCAAGAGTCTTCTGCAACACCACAGTTCAAAAGCATCAGTTCTTCAGCACTCAGCTTTCTTTATAGTCCAACTCTCACATCCATATATAACTACTGGAAAAACCATAGCCTTGACTAGATGGACCTTTGTTGGCAAAGTAATCTCTCTGCTTTTTAAATATGCTGACTAGATTGGTCATAGTTTTTCTTCCAGGGAGCAAGTGTCTTTTAATTTCAGGGCTTCATTCACTGTCTGCAGTGATTTGGGAGTCTAAAAAAATAAAAAAATAAATTAAAAAAAAATAATAAAGTCCAAAAAAAGCCTGTTGCTGTTTCCACTGTTTCCCTGTCTATCTGCCATGAAGTAATGGGACCAGATGCCATGATCTTAGTTTTCTGAATGTTGAGTTTTAAGCCAGCTTTTTCACTCTCCTCTTTCACTTCATCAAGAGGCTCTTTAGTTCTTCACTTTCTGACATAAGGGTGGTTACATCTGCATATCTGAGGTTATTGATATTTCTCCCGGCAGTCTTCATTCCAGCTTGTGCTTCTTCCAGCCCAGCGTTTCTCATGATGTACTCTGCATATAAGTTAAATAAGCAGGGTGACAGTATACAGTCTTGATGTAGTCCTTTCCCTATTTGGAACCAGTCTGTTGTTCCATGTTCAGTTCTAACTGTTGCTTGCAGATTTCTCAAGAGGCAGGTCAGATGGTCTGTTATTTCCATCTCTTTAAGAATTTTCCATAGTTTGTTGTGATCCACACAGTCAAAGACTTTGGCATAGTCAATAAAGCAGAAATAGATATTTTTCTAGAACTCTCTTGCTTTTTCAGTGATCCAACAGATGTTGGTAATTTGATCTCTGATTCCTCTTCCTTTTCCAAATTCAGCTTGAACATCTGGAAATTCATGGTTCCATACTGTTGAAGACTGACTTGGAGAGCTTTGAGCATCACTTTACTAGCGTGTGAGATGAGTGCAATTGTGCGGTAGTTTGAGCATTCTTTGGCATTGCCTTTCTTTGGGATTGGAATGAAAACTGACCTTTTCCAGTCCTGTGGCCACTGCTGAGTTTCCCAAATTTGCTGGCATATTGAATGCAGCACTTTCACAGCATCATCTTTTAGGATTTGAAATAGCTCAACTGGAACTCCATCACTTCCACTAGCTTTGTTCATAGTGATGCTTCCTAAGGCCCACTTGACTTCACATTCCAGGATGTCTGGCTCTGGGTTGGTGATCACACCATCATGATTATCTGGGTCATTAAGATCTTTTTTGTATAGTTCTTCTGTGTATTCTTGCCATCTCTTCTTAATATCTTCTGCTTGTGTTAGGTCCATACCTTTTCTGTCCTTTATTGTGCCCATCTTTGCATGAAAAGTTCCCTTGGTATCTCTCATTTTCTTGAAGAGCTCTCTAGATTTTCCCATTCTGTTGTTTTCCTCTATTTCTTTGCACTGATCACTGAGGAACGCTTTCTTATCTCTCCTTGCTATTCTTTGGAACTCTGCATTCAAATGGGTATATCTTTCCTTTTCTCCTTTGCCTTTCACTTGTTTTCTATCCACTGCTATTTGTAAGGCCTCCTCAGACAACCTTTTGCCTTTTTACATTTCTTTTCCTTGGGGATAGTCTTCATCCCTGCCTCCTGTACAATGTCATGAACCTCCATCCATAGTTCTTCAGTCACTCTGTCTATCAGATCTAATCCGTTGAATCTGTTTGTCACTTCCACTGTATAAGGTCATGTATAAGGTCATGGTCTAGTGGTTTTCCCCACTTTCTTCAATTTAAGTCTGAATTTGGCAATAAGGAGTTCATAGTCTGTGCCACCGTCAGCTTCTGGTCTTGTTTTTGCTGACTGTATAGAGCTTCTCCATCTTTGGCTGCAAAGAATATAAGCAATCTGATTTTGGTATTGACCATCTGGTCAATTAGTATTGACATTTAAATTATATTATTTCTACGGTGGTGTTGAACACTCAGCTTACTGTATCAGAATGAGCTTCAAAAATAACTAGTTATTGGGAACATCTGTTGTGGTCTTTGTAGTCTTGTAATAAATAACATTTTATTGTTCACCATGAATTTATTTTAAATTTCTAATAACATTGCTTTTTTGTTATTAATGTGGGCGTTATGAAGAGATTTTCTGTCCTAGAGATATGATGACATGTGATATGTTAACTGTAATATTATTTCATTGCTTGTATGGTACTGATAGAAAACATGAAATATATTTAATACTTAGAAAGTCTTATTTTGTTTTAAAATTGACTTGTAAGTAGACTAAAAACACTAAAAATCAGTACTTAGGAAGATATTTCTGTATTTAGGCTACATTTTGTATTTTTATCTGCTGAATTATTAAGAAGTAAATCTTAAATTTTTTTACTTTGAAAATCCAGATTAGAAGTGTCCTGGTGTTTTTAATATAGATTCATTCATTAGATAAGAATTTGTTAAGTGTTTATTATATAAAACATTGTGCTTTTTCTGAAGGATATAAATTTGCATTTTGCTACACCAGGCTTAAGAGGGGAGAAAGTGTTAGGTGTCCCAAGGGAATGACTGCAGTGCTGTGGGCATTCATAGGTTGGATCATTCCTCTGCTGGAAGGTGATCTGGTAAGACTTAGCGGAAAAAGGCAGTGTGTGAGCTTATCCCCAAGAATGGGTAGCATCTTGCATCTTTAGGTTTTAAAGGAGAATTGGCATCCTGGGGAGGAGAAAGGATCGGATTAGTAAATAATAACAGCATTAAGTCCCAGGATCTGCTGAAGAAAAAGGCAGCCACAGGTACCAGGAAGTGTTTGGCCCATAATCATGAAGCATGGTCCGTGAGCATTGAGCTGAATCCCTGTTCCTCCATGTATTTGCTGTGTGATCCTGGTCATGTTTTTACCACCTGAACCTCAATTTCACTTCCTTCTTTCTTTTTCCCCTTCCTCTCTTTCTTTCTCTTCTTTCTTTCTTTCACATATAAAAAAGGGATAATAGGACCTCTTTTGAAAGATTTGTTGAAAGAACCCAGCACTCAGCTAATGGTGCCTATTTTATTTATTCGCAGTGAACTAGTTTCTAGTCTAGAATTCTCGTTCAGCTGTTGGAAAACCTGTTCTGTGAAGGGCCAAATGGTAAATGTTTACGCTCTTTGGTTCATACAGTTTTCTTGCAGCTTGGCTATTTAACTGCTGTTGTAATGCATAGTCATTATGTAAACAAATGTGTTTGGCTGTGCTCCAGTAAAACTTCATAAGAACAAGTGGGGACTTCCTTGACAGTCCAGTGGTTAAGACTCCAGGCTTCTAGTGCCCAGGGCACCGGTTTGATCCCTGGTCGAGGAACTAAGATCCAGCATGTCATGGGTGTGGCTAAAATGCAAGGAACTAAGATCCTACATATCATGGATGTGGCCAAAATAAAAAATAAATAAAAAGTAAAATTAGATTATTAAAAATTAAAAAAGAAATGGCAGGCTAGAATTGTCCTGCAGGCAGTAGTTTGCCGACCCCTGACTAGAGCATTAGGGAATCACGGGGAAGAAGGCTTGAAAGGAAGGAAGGAATTGGATCATTGAAGATCTTGAATTCCAGGCAAAATGATTCAGGCTTTATCTCATGATAACTACATACAAACTGAAACTTCCTGAGCATGTGTTAATTATATATAACTTTTTCTACATAATATATTCATAAATTAAAGATAGCTTTTATTAAACTCAGATGAACTTTATCTAAGTAGCTTGAGAGTAGCTTTGAAAACCATAAAGATGGAATAGCATAGCGGTATAAAGTGCCCTGGTCACCTGTGTCCGCCTTCTTCTGCCACATCCAAGTTGTTTGATCTTGGGAAGGAAGTCTCAGTGCCTTAGCTTCCTCCTCAGTAAACTGAGGAAAACAACATCAGTAATAATAATACCTAGTTAATAGGGCTGTTAAAAGAGATTAAGAAGATTTAATTTAATAAGTGTTTAGTGCCTGGCACATAATGAGTTTTTATTAATAATAGCATTTTCTCACCTATTAAAAGAAAATGAGTATCTATTATACAATAGTGTGACATTGTGCCTGGTGGAATGCAGTGGTGAGTAAAAATAGACAAGGTCCCACTAGGTACAAGGTTACATAATTACAGAAATAGCTGTAAAATTTCAACCATGCCAAGTCCCAAGGACAGTGAAGGGAGGAAGCTTGAGAAATAAGACAGTATCAGAGATGAAGCATTTCTGACTTGCAAGACTTAATGGATGGTGGTAGTCTCTAGTTAGGGAACTTTGGACAGGGCTTGGGTTTATGTGCAGATGGGAAAAGTGTGGAAAATCATGAGTTTGACTTTAGACATGTTTAGACATTTCAGGGGACTTTGAGACAGCTAAGAAAAGATACATAAAGGTAGTCCCAAACAGGTCCAGAAATGAGAATTCTGGGCTTGTGTATCATCTGTGTATGAACAGTAATTAAAACATTCATGGGGTGAGTTGCCCAGGAAAGGAGCTGAGAGTAGATGAGAGGAGGGCTTTTTAACTGAGCTTTGAGG